GAGAGAGGGAATCGGGTTTGATGTTCTTGGAGCCGGGTCTGCAAGATATAATGAGGTTGAACCGAGAGAAAAACAGAGACCACCTTGACTGACATGGGTTAGCCTGTTTGTATGGGTTAGCGGACTGGATGTACGCTAGGTTTTTGTGATCAGCATCGTAGTTTTGTTCAGCCGGTGAGAGTCTACGGGAGAAAAATGCACAGGGGTGAATCCTTTGATCAGAGTCGAGTTGTTGGGATAACACAGCACCAACACCAGAGTCAGAGGCGTCCACTTCAAGGATAAATTGTTTTGCAGGATCTGGCTGGATTAACACAGGAGCTCTGGATAACAATGTCTTTAATTTATCAAAAGCATTTTGTGCTTCTGGAGTCCATTGGAAGGTCTTTTTGACTGATGTTAGAGTTGTAAGAGGTAGAGCTGTCTGACTATAATTCCTGATGAAACGACGGTAGAAGTTAGCAAAACCCAGGAATCTCTGCAGCTGTTTTCGGTTCTCAGGTGTCGGCCAATCCAAAACTGCCTTTATCTTTTCTTCGGATGGCTTAACCTGCCCGCCCTCGAGCACAAACCCTAAAAAGGTGACAGAAGGTTGATGAAACTCGCATTTTTCAGCCTTTACAAAAAGTTTGTTCTCCAACAGTCTTTGAAGGACCAGGCGGACATGTTTCATATGCTCAGAATCGTTCTTGGAGTAGATTAAAATGTCGTCAATGTATACAAACACGAAAATATTCAGAAAGTCTCTGAGGACATCATTGACGACCACTTGAAAACATGCAGGAGCGTTAGTGAGACCAAAAGGCATAACCAGATATTCAAACTGGCCCAAAGGGGTTTTGAAGGCTGTCTTCCATTCATCACCTTTTCTAATCCTGAGAAGGTGATATGCGTTTCTTAAGTCGAGCTTGGTGAAGACAGTAGCCCCTTGAACAGTTTCAAAGGCTGATGTTAGTAACGGAAGTGGGTATTTATTTTTAACAGTTATTTGGTTAAGGCCTCTGTAGTCTATACAAGGTCTTAAGGAACCATCTTTTTTGCCCACAAAAAAGAAACCAGCACCCAACGGGGAAGAAGATGGATGGATTATTCCAGCAGCTAGGGACTCATTTATATACTTTTCCATGGTTTCACGTTCTGGATTGGAAATGTTGTAAAGTCTACTGCTGGGAAGGGGAGCTCCAGGTAATAGCTCAATCGCAAAGTCATATGGTCTGTGAGGTGGAAGAGACGTAGCACTGACCTTACTGAAGACAGACCAGATCATGATACTCGGAAGGGGCAGAAGTAAGGTCAGGAGAGTCCATCTCCCCCCTACCTCTAGGAGACTGTACAGCGGGAGCTGCAGAACGAAGGCATGTTTCATGACAGGAGGTCGACCATGACTCAATGTGGCGTTCAGCCCAGTTGATATGGGGATTATGTCGTTCCAGCCACTCAAATCCAAGCACCAAGGGAGAACATGTAGAAGAAAGAACAAAAAATGTTAAAGTCTCACGATGATTACCAGAGATCAAAAGCTCTAGAGGTTGCATTTGATGGGTAACTTGATGGAGTCTCTTCCCATCAATAGCAGAGACACTAAGTGGTTTGGTTAACGGGACAGTTTCGATCTGTAGCTGCAGAACCAGGTTAGAGTCTATAAGATTACGCTCACATCCAGAGTCGATAAAAGCTGACAATGTGAGATTCTGGTTAGAGAAAAACAGAGTGGCTGGAAGCATCAAATGAGGAGATCTTTCAGTTTTCAAATGGCCCGTCAGACTCCTCAGTTCCTCTGACGGGCCCCCGCTTTTGACTTAGCTGGGCATGAAGCAATAAAATGGCCAGTCTCACCACAGTATATGCACAACTTGCCCCTGAAACGTCTTAGCCTTTCCTCAGGAGTTAGCCTTGTGTGTCCAACCTGCATGGGTTCGGCTTCCGTCTCAACTGAGTGAGAGACCTGGATAGGCATACAGAGAGTCTGGGTTTTAGGCCTTGGTTTGGAAACGGGTTCTGTGGATCCAGAAAAAACAGAAGCATTATTCAATGCAGGAGCAGACACGGAAAAATTTAGACTCTTATTTCTTGAGCAATTTCTAGCTCGAAGTCTGTTGTCCAACCTAATAGTTAGGCGGATTAATTCCTCCAGGCTAGCAGGTTCATCGAGAGTTGCAAATTTATCCTTGATATTGTCATTCAGTGCCTTAAAATATGCACTTTTAAGAGCACATTCGTTCCATCCGGAAGCTGCGGCTTTGACCCGGAAGTTGACGGAAAAATCCGCTACTGAGGAATTTCCCTGTTTTAGATTCAGCAGAGCTCGTGAGTCAATTGTTTGATCAGAATCCTGATTAAACACTTGGGAGAATTCAGAAACAAACTCTGAAAAAGTTCGTCTGAAACTGGTCTCGGAAGTGAATCTAGCCTTCGCTCACTCAAGGGCTCGCCCAGTGAGTTGAGACAAAATAAAAGTTATCTTTTTCTTATCCGTAGGGAAACTGCCAGGAGAGTTCTCAAAAATTAGACGACATTGAAACAAAAATCCCTTACATTCTTTCTGATTACCTGAGAACTTTTCAGGGAGACTAGGACGGAACTCAGGAGATGGTGACCTGAGAGGCGGAACTGGTTCCGGAACTTGACGTGCCGCCGACGCGGCATTAGCAGTGCCCATGTAGCTAGCATAGGTTTGGAGCGTTTGGTTTTGATAATCGATCATGGTATGTAACTCACGGAGGGTTTGAGATTGTCCATGGATCTGAGCGTCTTGTTCCTCAAGCCTACGACGGAGGTGATCTGCTGGGCTTTCAGTTTGGCCGCAGTGTTCTGTCATGATGGGTTACAGAGTAAGCCCAATATGCAGAACACACACGGAGGCAGAATAAAAAGTTTAACAAGGTTTATTGAAAACACAAGCGCATGAATATTGCACTGGAGCTGGAACTGGCCAGGGGGCAGGTTCACTGGAGTCTGCAGGGATGACAGTTCAGTTAGCAAACGGACTGATGAGTTATGAGTCTTAGATATTTCTGAGGAATACCTTGAAGGCGTCCGGGTTTCTCTTTGAGAGAAGAAACTGTTGGGTCCAGAGACTGTTTGTTCAGCAGAGTCCACTAATTGCTTCAGCGTCTTATTTCTGACTTTGAGGGCAGACCTTGATTTGAGTTTCCAGCTTGCATACATGTTTTCTGTGCTTATCTTGGCCCTGGCTAGTGTCTATTTCTTGAAGTATGACATTTTTTATTTTTTGCATGAATCTGTTATTTCTAGGCTGGATATGACACAGCGTATTCCTGTCACCACTTCTCCATTCTTGGATCGTTCTTTAATAATACAATTCCAAACATCACACTTTTAGGCCTTGGTAGTAACGTCAATGTTTCTGGTCGCTGGGCTTTCCGTGTAGATAATGGTTCAAGGTATTGCAATGGTAAGAAAAAAGCATCTCTAAACCTGTACTTATATGAATAGAACATGTACTTTGTCAATGAGTAACATTTCTAGTCTGTTTCCCATTGTAGAAGAGAAGGCCTATTGAAATGGGTACATTATACACTAAACAACTAGTTTTATTATTTATTTTTAGGTCCTTTAGTGGGGCTTTCTATACTACAGCAAATGCTTATGGGTCTGACCACATACTTCAAACACAACTATGCCATACTTTTAGAAAAAGTACTGAATACACAAAAAAAAAACTTTTTATTCTGACCCAACAAATCATTACAACAAATAATTAAAAACATTATGAACACATTTCAACTTATATAAAAAAAAAATAATGATAACCAACATGGCCTCTCTAATAACACAAGTCTTTGTAAATTTTAAAGTAAGAGCCTCACTTTCCACATAATGTATGTAACTATTAAGCTCATAATAGTTGCCCTGTGTAATTTAATAATTGGAAATAGGTTTTATATCACCAAAGTTTCAAACAATATCTCAAATAAAACCATGCCAGACTTTCAAAATAGGACATATAATAATAATAATAATAAAAAAAAACAGATCATGATTGACACTGCAGACTATTAGACTCAAGATGAATGAATGAATGAATGAATGAATGAATGAATGAAGAGGATTTTTTTTTCAGACAATTTTGACAAACAACAATAAATGAATCAACCAAATAAACACAAAATAGACTTTTTAAAATCAAACTAAACACAAATTTTCAATCTACCTATATTTACCTGAACATAAATAGAAACAAACCCCTCCACCAAATAAACCTGTCGGTATATAGAGCTGAAGAACTGTCATTGATTAATGTAGATTGTTTAAAAAGGGGTATGAAAAAGTAAAACTTATTTTTGCATACCCCCTCTCCCTCTAAGGGCACTACAAGTACTGTAACTTAAAGTAGAGTAACCATCATGTTAAACCTCTTTGTTTTCTTATACAAAATCTATATTTACACCCTTGTACCCAATACTTACGCCTGTGGCCGAAGAACACCACAAAGAATGTCCAGGCAGGATGACTGGCAGTCATCATGTTGCTTAGATAAGTTTTCATTCAGTGCAGTGCTACTACTCAAATGCAATAACGCTACAATGTCTTAATTAATACTTTTGTGATTATTTGTGTCAAAAGTTTTTTCAAATCAATAAATACACCAACTGCAGATTTCTTATTATCTAAGGCACTGGTGACTTCTATCAATTCAATGACTAAACATCAATTCAAGGACTAAACATTATGAACAGAACTCAAATGGTTTTGTTCATTTTCACATGGCTTTTTTTATAGCAGATCCCACTAAGTATTTCAGAACAAAAGAATAATTTTTCCACAGTAATTATGTAACTTAGAATTATCACTGCTCTCTGCGTTTGTCTCTCATAATCGTGTGTGCCTATTTGGTTTGAAACTGTTTTACATAGCATGATATATGCTGTATTGAAATTTCAAGCCTGAGTGTAGGTTTCAACCTTACACATTGAGCACTGAGTCCTGTTTAAGAAGACAGGAGGAAAATCTTGTGTGTTTTTGTGTTTTAATTTTAGGACCCCTCTATCCAATTGGTGGAAAAACAAGCTCTCAAGAGGATGATGGAAGATCCACGCCAATTTCACTCCTTCAACCCTTTAACTATTTTGGCAAATTCTACTCTCAGATATATGTAAGTTCAGATTATTTCTTAGACTCAAAGTAACTTTTCTTTTTAATTAACAAGATTACATTCAAACATTTATCAACAAAATTTACCATCATCTAATTTGAGTTATTTTATTTGCAGGTGAACCACAATGGACATCTGACCTTTGAAACCCCATGGAGTAGTTATTCACCAGAACAGTTTCCAATTGATGGAGGCAGAGATATTATTGCTCCTTACTGGACTGATTTAGACAATAGTGAAAGTGGTAACATCTACTATGTTCAGTACACCCATGGCTCTATTCTCCAACAAGTTACCCAGGACATCAACCTTTACTTCCCAGAACTTAACTTTCATGCCAACTGGATCTTTATTGCAACATGGCATAAAGTTCCCTATTATTCAATGCCTGAAACAGTAAGGAAATGTATTTGATGTTATATTTGGAATGAAAAGACATAAACTATGTTTAATCTGCGTCGCCAATTCTAAAATATAACTTTTTTTTTCATAGCAAAACACCTTCCAGGCAATCTTGGCTTCCAATGGGAATTATTCATTTGTGATTCTAAATCATGGATCCCTAGCATCCAAGCAGGTCTCTATAGAGGTGAGTGCATTGTAGTTAAATGCATACATGTTTTCTGTGCTTATCTTGGCCCTGGCTAGTGTCTATTTCTTGAAGTATGACATTTTTTATTTTTTGCTGGAATCTGTTATTTCTAGGCTGGATATGACACAGCGTATTCCTGTCACCACTTCTCCATTCTTGGATCGTTCTTTAATTATACAATTCCAAACATCACACTTTTAGGCCTTGGTAGTAACGTCAATGTTTCTGGTCGCTGGGCTTTCCGTGTAGATAATGGTTCAAGGTATTGCAATGGTAAGAAAAAAGCATCTCTAAACCTGTACTTATATGAATAGAACATGTACTTTGTCAATGAGTAACATTTCTAGTCTGTGTCTCATTGTAGAACAGAAGGGCTAGTGAAATGGGTACATTATACACTAAACAACTAGTTTTATTATTTATTTTTAGGTCCTTTAGTGGGGCTTTCTATACTAAAGTAATTGCTTTTGGGGTTTACCACATACTTCAAACACAACTATGCCAAGCTATCAGAGTACAACACAGAATACCCAACAAAAAAAACAACTTTTATATTATGACCCAACAAATCGTTACAGCAAATAATTAAAAATATTATGAACAAACTGATTCTTAGAAAAATGTATCCCCATGGCATCTCTAACAACACAAGTGTTGGTTAATTTTAATATAAGAGCCTCACCATCCATATAAAGTATGTAATTATTAAGCTCATGATAGTGGCCCTGTGTGATTTAAGAACTTGAAATAGGTTTTATATCACCAAAGTTTCAAACAATATCTAAAATAAAACCATGACAGACTTTCAAAATAGGACATATAATATAATAAACATGAACAGTACTCATATGATTTTGTAAATGTAACCATTACCTTTTACAAACACATTCCACTAGATATTTCAGAATCAAGGCCTAATTTTTCCAGAGTAAATATGTTAATATTAAGCTGCTAATAAGGATACCCTGTGATATTTATGAACTGGAGAGCTGTAGTTATTGTCATTGGGTGCAAACCCATCTTTACAACTTAAACATGGTACAATTTCTAAATTACAATAAACCATGATAGTCTGCTAAATAAAAGTCCCTTTGTCTTGCAGAGCAGATTACTATATATTTG